CGCACTTACTGTTGGTATTATGTGCGTAAGTAATGCACTTAGTCTTGGTACCAACCATATGGGTAAGTAGCGCACTTTGTTATGGTACCAACCATATGGGTAAGTAACGCACCTACTTCTGGTATCAACCAAATGGGTATATTGTCAACGGGAGTTGGGTGTTGGCCGCGTCCTCGCTTGGGCGGAGCCGACTTCCTGGTCGGGTGTAGGGGTGCAGCCGACCTGCAGTAGTGGGCGAGCCGGTCGACGGGGTTGGTCGACCTGCACGGGAGCCACTGCAAGGGCGCCGACTTCAGGAGGGCGCCAACTTCAAGTGGTCGACTTGAGAAGTCGACCTGCAGAGGGCGTCGACTTGGGGGGACGCCGACCTGGGGTAGCCGACTTAGGTGGTCGACAAGGAGTGTCGTCGACCTGGAGTTGGTCGACCAGAGGGCGTGGTCGACTTGGTGAGGTCGACTGGAGGTTGGAACAAAGCGTAAGTCCGTTACTTACCCGTGTGGATTAAGCTGAGAATTCGCTATAACGAAGCTTGCTCCAAGAGCTTTAAAATAAGCCAAGTTGCCTCGCGAAAAGTTCTGTCATTACGAAGTTATGGCTCGGACAGCGTTTGCCTAGTGTTGGAGTGCTAGCATACTCACATTAACTCGGGTAGCATTCCGCCATTGAATAGCGCAGAAACGAAACTCCAGCAAGGAAGGAATTCGCTTGAATCAATTGACTATTTCCAGGTACAAACAGAGAAGGAATAAATAGTTCTAGCTACCAAGGACCTTGGGAATCAACCTGGGAAGAACCAGGGATGATCCCAAATAATTCCAAGCAACAGAACCAACCTGGCTGGACAAAATAGCAGGTGGTAGTTTGGTAAACAACCTCTGGTTCTGTTTTTCCAACCTGGGAAAACAACAACCAGGTTCAGGTTCTAAAAACAGAACCTGTTTTGTCTTTGCCCAACCAGCCAAATGCTGGTTCCGCTGGTTTCCCCTGGCCCTGTAGCATGCAGATACAGACAAACAACATCCAACCTTCACCTAAATTGTACCCCTATAGTGCCTGCCCTGCTACACTATAGTCAACCAAGCAAAACAGTACAATTTCGGGTTGGATAGAACTGAATCTGCGCAATCAATTCAACCGAACCGCAAAGCTTCCATCTTGGGTTCCTTTGCGAGCTCGTCCTTCATGCTTGCACTGTTCATAGTGCGTCCACTATTGTGCCGAAGCGCACATTGCGCGAATACCTGCAAATGCATCAAGCGAAAATTGCGAAAGCAAACAAACACACAAACATTCCATTCACACCCAAATGCATTCGCACACACATACTCGTACAAACAGACGGCAGGATGTCGTGCAAAATGTATTTGTACCCAACAACGATCTGCACTGCAACTCTGCGTGGCATTCTTGATTCCTCTCTCTACAAACTCGGACCCGAGAATAGGGGCTGGTCTTGTACCAGGCACCCAAGGACCCTTGGAGGTGACCCCGAGGAGAGGTTTTAAGCTTGGTTAAGTCTTAATAGCTCGAGTGTATTAGGCCCTTACACCAACAGTATGAGCGTTACATACCCATATGGTTGGTACCCCTGTCTTTGAGGGGTGCTCCCCCTCTCCCCTCTTGCCCTCTGTTGCCTCTGCTGCTGCGGCCGACCTCGTTGGTCTTGAGTCGGTCGCTGCGGCGTCTGCCCCTAGCGGGAGACGCCGCTCTGGCAAGGGCAAGGGGGGCAAGGGTGCTGGAGGAGCTGGAGGGGGCGGTGGAGGCGGAGGTGGAGGTGGTGGAGGGGGTGGGGGTGGCGGTGGGGGTGGTGGCGGGGGTGGGGGCGTCGGTGGCGGGACTGGAGGTGGAGGTGGAGGCGGCGCTGGCGGTGGGAGCGGAGGTGGCGGAGGTGGCGGTACTGGAGGTGGTAGCGGCGGAGGCGGTGGAGCTGGTCGGGGTGGCGCTGCGCAGAGGGGTGGCTCCGGTGGTGGTGCGCGCCAGCAGCAGCAGCAGCAGCGTACCCGTGAGACCCCTTCCCCCCAGCAGCTTCGTGAGTGGTACGCTGCTCGTCAGCGGGGCGGGGGTGCTGGCCCCTGTACCTACGTTCTCCGTACCGGCGACCGGGCGGGTGAGCAGTGTGGGGGCGCGCACCCCACCCAGCGCTGCTTCGGTCGTCTGACGGACGCGTGGCGCCACCAGTTCCCCGACGCTACTGAGATCCCTCGCTGGGGCGAGCTGTCTAGGGCGGGTGTTGCGATCTATGATCTTGATTTTGATGCTATTCTTGCTGCCATGTATGCTGTGACTATTAGTGATGAGGGTGACTGTTACCGGTGTTTTCCGCCTGACCCAGGCATAGAGGCTGCTGCGCTAGGTACTTGTGAGGCTGCTGCTCTAGGTGCCAGTGCGTCTGCCGCCCCAGGTGCCGGTGAGTTTGCGCTCTCAGGTGCTGAGTCGTCACCGCACACCCACACCTTCACCCTTGACTCGGGTGCTTCCCGCTCCTTCTTTCGAGACTGCACCACTCTCACACCGCTCAGTCGGCCTGTTGCAGTCTCCCTGGCGGACCCCTCTGGGGGTCCTGTCCTTGCTCACTACTCCACTGTCCTACCGTGTCCGGCGGTCCCGTCTGGCTCCCTGTCGGGTCTCTACCTCCCCTCGTTCTCTACGAACTTGGTAGCGGGTGCTGACCTCCAGGATGCAGGAGTTGACCAGTTCACCCCTGCGCGTCAGCGGGTGACCCACTGCACTTGTGCGGACACGGGCCGACACTTGGCCACGTTTGCTCGTCGGCCAGGGTCGAGCCTGTACACACTGACTACTGAGTCTCCTCCAGTCACTGAGTCTGCTCAGGTAGCAGCGTCGGGTCAGGTGTTTGCTGCAGCGTCCAGGTCTGGTCCTGAGTCTGCCCCCTGCTCGTGTCGTCTCCTGTCCCACCGGACTCTCCTCTGGCACCACCGCCTTGGTCACCCCTCCCTGCCTCGTCTTCGAGGCATGGCTTCCCGTCTTCTTGTCTCCGGCCTCCCCCGGTCCCTCCCTCCTCTTCCTCCGGGGCCTGCCCCCACCTGCGTTCCCTGCGTTGAGGGGCGGCAGCGCGCTGCCCCTCACTCCTCCGAGTTTCCTCCGACCGAGGCTCCACTGCAGACGCTTCACATGGACGTGTGGGGCCCAGCCCGCGTCCGTGGGCAGGGTCAGGAGCGCTACTTCCTGCTGGTGGTTGACGACTACTCGCGTTACACCGCAGTCTTCCCCTTGCGCAGCAAGGGTGACGTCACTGAGGTGTTGATCGCCTGGATCCGCGCAGCTCGTCTCCAGCTCCAGGAGAGTTTCGGCTCCGACTTTCCTGTTCGGCGTCTGCACTCCGACAGAGGCGGAGAGTTCTCCTCTGACCTTCTGCGGGCCTTCTGTCGCGCACGAGGCATCCGCCAGACCTTCACGCTTCCGGACTCTCCGCAGCAGAATGGGATTGCTGAGCGCCGCATCGGCATGATCATGGACGTCGCTCGTACGTCCATGATCCATGCGGCTGCTCCCCATTTTTTGTGGCCGTTTGCGGTTCGGTACGCGGCGCATCAGCTCAACCTTCACCCCCGGGTCTCCATGCCGGAGACCTCCCCTGCTTTACTGTGGACGGGGAAGGTTGGTGATGCGTCGCGTTTCCGGGTCTGGGGATCTAGGGCGTTTGTCCGCGACTTGTCTGCGGACAAGCTGTCCTCTCGTGCTGTTCCCTGCGTCTTCCTTGGCTTTCCCCCTGACGCGCCAGGCTGGCAGTTCTACCACCCCACCTCGCGCCGTGTCTTCGCGTCCCAGGACGTCACCTTTGACGAGTCGGTTCCCTACTACCGTCTCTTCCCCTACCGCACTGCGTCCCTCCCTCCCCCGCCGCTCTTCCTTACGCCAGGTCCCCCTCCGGTAGACCCCCTCCCCCCTCAGGGTCCTGCTCCCTCAGGTGTGTCCCAGGTAGATGCAGTTGAGCCAGTCGAGGTAGCTGTTGACTCTGGTGCTGCTGGTGGTGCTGAGCCTGGGGGTGCTGGGTCTGGGGGTGCTGCGACTGGGGGTGCTGCGCCTGGGGGTACTGAGCCTGGGGGTGCTGCGCCTGGGGGTGCTGCGCCTGGGGGTGCTGCGCCTGGGGGTGCTGAGCCTGGGGGTGCTGAGCCTGGGGGTGCTGAGCCTGGGGGTGCTGCGCCTGGGGGTGCTGCGCCTGGGGTGCTGAGCCTGGGGGTGCTGAGTCTCGGAGTGCGGAGCCTGAGGGTGCTGGACCTGCTCGTCTGGCGTCTGGTGGTGCTGAGCCTGGCAGTTCTTCGGGTGCTTCGTCCCGGCGGGAGCTGCTCTCTCCACAGGAGCTGCGTGAGTGGTTCGCCCGGCGCTGGCGGCGTGCTGCTGGAGCTGGTGGTGCTGCAGGCGCTGGAGGTTCTACTGCTGCTGAGAGTGCTGGTGCCGAGGGTCCGAGAGGTGCTCGTACCGAGTGTACTGGAGCTGCTGGGCCTACGGGTGCTCCTCCTGCTGGTGCTGCTGGTGCTGCTGGCGTTGGTGCTGCTGGTGCTCCTGGAGCTGGAGCTGCTGCGTCTTCGGGTGGTCCGGCTGGAGCTGGAGCTACTGGGGGTGTTGGCGCTGGAGGTGCTCCTGGCGCTGGTGCTGCTGAGGGTGCTGGAGTTGGAGCTGCTGGAGCTGGGGGTCCTCCTGGTGCTGGTGCTCCCGTTGGGGGTACTGGTGCTGTTCCTGCTGGCACTGGTGGCGCTGCGCGGCCGCGGCCGTACTTCGTTCCGCTCCTTGAGCAGGTTCTTGGTCTTCCGTCCTCTCTTGGTCCTGCTCCTCCCTTAGCGTGTCCGCCTCCTGTCCAGTCCGAGTCGCAGTTACCGCCGGCCTCCCCGCTTCCTTCTCCCTCTCCCTACGCTGGTCCTACTGGAGGTCTTGCTGAGCGTCGTGAGCCTGCGTCTCGCCCTGCGTCGCCTGTCCGTGCTGCTCGCACTAGTGGTCGTGGTTCGCGTCAGCGTCCTCCTCCTGTCCCCGGCACGCACCGGATGTCTCTGCGTCCTTCCACTGCTCCCCTGCGTGCCCCTTTGCCTTCTCCTCCAGCGTCCTCTCTTCCTGACCTTCCTGACCCTGAGTCGGACTCCCTTCGTGCTGCGCGTCCTACTGTCACGCGTCTCCTTGCTACTGTCGTCACTGACCCTTCCTTTGAGTCTACTGCTGCGTCTGCTCTGGTTGCTGAGCTTGTCGACTTTGCTGCTGTCTGTCGTCTAGACTACGCCGCTAGTCTTGTCGCTGAGTCTGAGTCTGTCTGTCCTCCGTCCGTCGGGGGTGAGTGTGCTCTTAGCACGGACGTCCTTGAGGACAGGCAGGAGGAGTTCCAGTGTCTTGCTGCTGCTGTACCCCATCTCGTGGCCATGCTGCTTGCCCCTGAGGGAGACCCGGATGCACTTGACATCCCGACTCCGCGCTCTTACGCGGAGGCGATAGAGGGTCCCTACTCCTCTCAGTGGCAGGCAGCCATGGACGCAGAGATGGCTTCCTGGAAGTCCACAGGCACCTACGTTGACGAGGTTCCCCCGCCTGGGGCGAACATCGTCAGTGGCATGTGGATTTTCAGGGTGAAGCGGCCGCCGGGTTCTCCGCCTGTCTTCAAGGCGCGTTACGTGGCTCGTGGCTTCAGTCAGCGGCAGGGAGTTGACTACTTTCAGACCTTCTCTCCCACCCCGAAGATGACCACTCTTCGGGTACTGCTGCACATAGCCGCTCACCGAGACTACGAGCTGCACTCTCTTGACTTCAGCACTGCCTTCTTGCAGGGCAGCCTGCACGAGGAGATCTGGCTGCGCCGCCCACCTGGCTTCACTGGGACTTTTCCTCCTGGCACCCAGTGGAGCCTTCGGCGGCCAGTCTACGGTCTCCGCCAGGCGCCGCGTGAGTGGCACGACACACTGAGGACTACACTTGCGGCTCTTGGGTTTGCTCCTTCTACTGCCGACCCGTCGCTGTTTCTGCGCACCGACTCTTCCTTGCCGCCGTTCTACATCCTCGTGTACGTCGACGACTTGGTCTTTGCTACAGCTGACACTGCTGGACTTGCCTACGTGAAGTCCGAGCTGCAGAAGAGACACACGTGCACAGACCTGGGTGAACTGCGCAGCTACCTTGGCTTGCAGATCACCCGGGACAGAGCACAGCGCACCATTACCCTGACTCAGTCACACATGGTGCAGCAGGTCCTTCAGCGCTTCGGCTTCACGTACTCCTCGCCTCAGGCCACTCCTCTGCCTACACGCCACTCGCTCTCAGCTCTGCCTTCGGATGAGTCCGTAGAGTCGAGTGGCCCGTACCCAGAGCTTGTCGGCTGCCTCATGTACCTGATGACCTGCACTCGACCTGACCTTGCATACCCTCTTAGCATTCTGGCACGCTATGTTGCTCCTGGGAGACACAGACCAGAGCACATGGCTGCAGCGAAGAGGGTGTTGCGCTACTTGTGCAGTACGTCGGGCATGGGGCTTGTGCTTGGAGGGCAGAGTCCAGTGGTCCTCACTGGTCACGCAGACGCTTCTTGGGCCGACGACCAGGCTACGCAGCGGTCGTCACAGGGTTACACCTTCAGCCTTGGTTCCGGCTCTGTTTCGTGGCGGTCTACCCGCTCGTCTTCTGTTCTCGGCTCGAGCTGTGAGGCTGAGATCTACGCAGGGGCCATGGCTGCACAGGAGCTACGCTGGCTCACCTACCTGCTGACTGACCTGGGAGAGCCGCCTCGTTCTCCTCCAGTGCTGTACGTCGACAACAAGGCCATGCTGGCCTTGTGTCGAGAGCACAGACTGGAGCACAGAACAAAGCACATCGCTCTCCGCTATTTCCTTGCTCGTGAGCTGCAGCAGCGTGGTCAGCTGTGCCTTGCTTACGTGGCCTCTGAGGCCAACACTGCTGATATCTTCACCAAGGCACTCGCGCCTTGTGATCATCAGCGCTTCTGTACTCTGTTAGGTCTTGTGCCTACCTTGCCTCACTTGCTTACTTCTTGACCTTGCTTGTACTGTTACATATATATACCTGCCCTTGCTTGTTTAGCGTTATATATATGTACCCTTGCATGTGAACTGGCCTTCTGGCCTTGAACTTGTGCTCAGACTGTGTGGTGACGTTGTGATCCACCCTGAGCTTGCCTTGCTTTGCTTGACTGGTCTTGTGACCCTTTGTGCTCCCCCACTTTGCCTATGGGGGTGTGTCAAACTTATGCACTATAGTCTGTGTAGGCTGTAGTGGGGTAGCTTATATGGGGTACAACACTCTAGGGTTTGGCACTTGTACTCCTCATGCTGCTCAATTCAATCATTCACGTTCTAAGTTTCACAACACATGTACTGTTAGTACGAATAACATTGGAAAGTAACACATTTTCTCTTAGTACCAACCGTATGGATGAGTAAAACATTTACTTTTGGTACCAACCAAATGGGTACGTAACACATGTTCTGTTAGTGCTAATAATACAGGTAAGTATTGCAGTTACTCTTGGTACCAACCATATGGGTAAGTAACGCACTTATTCTTTGTATCAACCATATGGGCAAGTAACAAATCGTGTTAGTGTCAACCATATGAGAAAGTAATGCACTTCATCTTGGAATCATCCATATGGGTAAGTGACGTAGTTACTACTGGTACCAACCATATAGGTAAGTAAGACACCTACTCTTGGTACCAACCATATGGGTAAGTAACGGACTTACTCTTGGTACCAACAAAAAGGGTAAGTAACGGACTTACTCTTGGTACCAACCATATGGGTAAGTAATGCACTTACACTTCGGACCAACCATATGGGGACGTAATGCACTTACTATTGGTACTAATCTTTTGGGTAAGTAATGCACTTACTCTTGGTACCATCCATATGGGTAAGTAACGCACTTACACGTGGTACCAACTTCATGGGTAAGTTACACACCTACTTTTGGTACCAACCAAATGGTTACGTAACACATGTACTGTCATGCAAATAATTTGGATAACAAACGCACTTACTCTTGGTACCAACCATATAGGTAAGTAACGCACATACTCTTGGTATTAACCTTTTGAGTAAGAAAAACACGTTCTCTTGGTACCAACCATATGATTATGTAACGCACTTACTATTGGTATTAATTGTAGAGGTAAGTAATCAACTTACTCTTGGTACCAACCATATGGCTGAGTAGTAACGCACCTACTCTTGGTACCAACCATATGGGTTAGTAACGCACTTACTTTTGGTACCAACCAAATGGGTATGTAAGACATGTACTGCTACTGTGAATAATTTGGATAAGTAACACACTTTCTCTTGGTACGATATAGGTAAGTAACGCACTTACTCTCGGTACAAACCATATGCGTATGTAACGCACTTACTATTGGTATTAAGCATAGGGGAAAGTAATTCACTTACTCTTGATACCAACCATATGGCTGAGTAACGCACTTACTCTTAGTACCAACCATATGGGTCTTGGTACCAACCATATGGGTAAGTAACGCACTTACTTTTGGTACCAACCAAATGGGTATGTAACACAAATACTGAGACTGCGAATAATTAGGATAAGTAACGCACTTACTCTTGGTACCAACCATATGCGTATGTAACGCACTTAACCCTAGGGGAAAGTAAGCCACTTACTCTTGGTACCAACCATATGGGTAAGTAGCGCACTTACTCTTGGTACCAACCATATGGGTAAATAACGCACTTAATTTTAGAATTACCCATATGCGTAAGTAACGCACTTACACGTTTTGCCAACCATATGGGTAAGAAACACACTTGTTTTTGGTACCAACCAAATGGGTATGTAGCACATGTACTGTTATTGCGAATAATATGGATAAATATCACTCTTACTTTTGGTACCAACCATATGGGTAAGTAACGCACGTAATTTTAGAATTACCCATATGCGTAAGTAATGCACTTACACGTTGTACCAACCATATGGGTAAGTAACACACTTTTTTTTTGTACCAACCAAATGGGTATATAGCACATGTACTGTTAGTGCGAATAATATAGATAAGTAACACACTTACTCTTGGTACCAACCATATGGGCAAATAACGCTCTTGCTGTTGGTACCAACCATTTGGCTAAGTAGCTCACTTACTCTTGGTACCAACCATTTGGGTAAGTAACGCACTTACTCTTGGTACCAACCATATCGGTAAGTAACACATGTACTGTTAGTACCAAATAGATAAGTAACACACTTACTGTTGGTACCAATTATATGAGTAAGTAACGCATCTACTATTAGTGCCAACCATATGGGTAAGTAACGCACTTACACGTGGAACCAACTATATGGGTAAGTAACGCATCTACTGTTAGTGCCAACCTTATGGGTAGGTAACGCACTTATACGTGGAACCAACCATGTGGGTAAGTAACGCACTCAATTTGGTACCAACCATATGGGTAAAAGATACACCTACTCTTGGTACCAACCATGTAACGCACTTACTCTTGGTACCAACCATATCGGTAAGTAACGCATTTACTCGTGGTACCAACCGAATGGATAAGTAACGCACTTACTCTTGGTACCAACCAAATAGGTAAGTAACGCATCTACTGTTAGTGCCAACCATATGGGTAAGTAACGCATTTAGTGTTAGCACCAATCATGTAGGTAAGTAACGCACTTGCTTTTGGTACCAACCAAATGGATACGTGACACATGTACTATTTGAAAAAAAAGTGTGGATAAGTAAAGCATTTACTGTTGGTACCAACCATATGGGTAAGTAAGGCACTTATTCTTGGTACCAACCATATGGCTAAGTAACGCATCTACTGTTAGTGCCAACCATAACGTGGTACCAACCATATGGGTCAGTAACGCATTTACTTTTGGTACCAACCAATTGGATAAGTAACACACTTATTCTTGGTACCAACCATATGGGTAACCAGCGCATCTACTGTTAGTACCAACCATATAGGTAAGTAACGCACTTACTCTTAGTACCAACCATATGGGTAAGTAACGTATCTACTGTTAGTGCCAACCATATGGGTAAGTAACGCACTTGCATGTGGAACCAACCATATGGATAAGTAACGCACTTAATTTGGTACCAACTATATGGGTAAGTAACGCACTTACTCGTAGTACCAACCGAATGGATAAGTAAAACACTTATTCTTGGTACCAATCAAATAGGTAAGTAACGCATCTGTTGTTAGTGCCAACCATATGGGTAAGTAGCGCATTTAGTTTTGGTACCAACCATATAGGTAAGTAACGCACTTACTTTTCGTACCAACCAAATGGATACGTGACATAAGTACTATTAGGAAAAACAATGTGGATAAGTGGTACCAACCATATGGGTAAGTAACGCACTTATTCTTAGTACCAACCATATGGCCAAGTAATACATCTACTGTTAGTGCCAACCATAACGTGGTACCAACCATATGGGTAAGTAACGCACTTATTCTTGGTACCAGCCATATCGGTAAGTCACTTACTCTTGGTATTATTACTATGGGTAAGTAATGGACATACTCTTGGTACCGTCTATATGGGTAAGTAACGCAATTTCTGTTGGTACCAACCATTTGGCTAAGTAGCACACTTACTCTTGGTACCAACCATATGGGTAAGGAACGCACATATTCTTGGTACCAACCATCTAGGTAAGTAACACATCTACTGTTTGTGCCAACTATATGGGAAACTAATGCACTTTCACGTGGAGCCAACTATATGGGTAAGTAACGTACTTGTTTTTGGTACCAACCAATGGATAAGTAACAAACACACTCTTGGTACCAACTATATGGGTAATTAACGCATCTACTGTTAGTGCCAACCATATGGGTAAGTAACGCACTTACACATGGAACCAACCATATGGTAAGCAACGCATCGACTGTTAGTGCCGACCATAAAGGTAGCTAACGCACTTAGACGTGGTACCAACGATATGGGTGAGTAGTTGACTTACTCTTGGTACCAACCAGATGGGTAAGTAACGCACTTACTCTTCGTACCAACCATATGGGTAAGTAACGCACTCACTCTTGGTACCAACCATATGGGTAAGTAACGCACTTACTTTTGGTACCAACCAAGTGGGTACATAACACATGTACTGTTATTGCCAATAATATGGGCAAGAAACGCACTTACTCGTGGAACCAACCATGTAAGCAAGTAACGCACTTACTCTTGGTACCAACCATATGGATAAGTAACACACATACTCAAGGTACCAACCAAATAAGTACGTAACACATGTACTGTTAGTACGAATAACATTGGAAAGTAACACATTTTCTCTTAGTACCAACCGTATGGATGAGTAACACGTTTACTTTTGGTACCAACCAAATGGGTACGTAACGCATGTTCTGTTAGTGCTAATAATACAGGTAAGTAATGCACTTACTCTTAGTACCAACCATATGGGTAAGTAACGCACTTATTATTTGTACCAACCATATGGGCAAGTAACAAATCTAGTGTTAGTGCCAACCATATGAGAAAGTAATGCACTTCATCTTGGAATCATCCATATGGGTAAGTGACGTAGTTACTACTGGTACCAACCATATAGGTAAGTAAGACGCCTACTCTTGGTACCAACCATATGGGTAAGTAACGGACTTACTCTTGGTACCAACCAGAAGGGTAAGTAACGGACTTACTCTTGGTACCAACCATATGGGTAATTAATGCACTTACACTTCGGACCAACCATATGGGGACGTAATGCACTTACTACTGGTACTAATCATATGGGTAAGTAATGCACTTACTCTTGGTACCATCCATATGGGTAAGTAACGCACTTACACGTGGTACCAACCACACGGGTAAGTTACACACCTACTTTTGGTACCAACCAAATGGGTACGTAACACATGTACTGTCATGCGAATAATTTGGATAAGGAGCGCACTTTCTCTTGGTACCAACCATATAGGCAAGTAACGCACATACTCTTGGTATTAACCTTTTGAGTAAGAAAAACA